CAGGGGCGGTTGTAATGTTTCTTCAGAGAGAAACCTGTTTCTACATCCCGGAGGGCAGAGTCCCTTGAAGGAAGCCGGGGGGTGGGAGAGGAGTTTGCCCAGGCAGCGCATCCTTGGAGGAGGCGAGTGGCTTTGCTAGGCCTGCCTTCACTCTGTCTTATTTCTGTGTTGCTGCTATATTCTGGTAGCTTTGCTCTTGGGTATTAGATCTGGTCGTGCAGAGCCCCAAACATCTAAGTAGCGAGGCGGGTGTGTGGCTTTATTCCCGGGGAGCAGCTCCTCTTCTCTGCCAAATTTCAAGTCTGTAGCCAAGCGCTGCTGTGCTGTGCTTTCAGTCTCGTCTCTCAAGGGGAGTTGTAATGTGGATGTTACTTCATGCTGTCACTAGATGAACTAACTCTACTGCCGTGCTCTGGGTTTTTTCTTATATTTTTGGTCATTGCTGGATCTCAACAATGTAAAATCTCATTGGCACAATTAATAGTAGGTTTTATTATCACAACTGTCCACAACCATTTGTAGACTTACTGCAGAAGATTTGCGTTTGTTTTAGAAGCCTGGTGTGTGGGCTACCTACCCACAGACTAGAAAAAACTATCAAGCTACACAAAGTTTTATTAGAAGCAAAACCCGATTTTATAGGTATTCCTTATATGATACCAGTGGGTAAAACACTCTGACAAAACACTTCTCTGTAGGACTTGTGCTTCTCAGTCGGTTCCACATTATTGGCAGTAATCTGAGAACCGGAAAGGGAAGTGATTAGACAAGGAGAATTTTACCAGTGTCACCAAATCTCTTTGATTGAATACTACTTTAGATGAGAAACACGGGTTTTGTACCCCAAGAATTGAGTAGGTGCTGTCAGCTACGTTCTGCAGTAGTCTTGTAATTCTCCCAGAATTGATCAATTTTATGTGTTAGGTGTAAAATTGTAAAAAATGGTCTGTTCAGAATATAACAGTCTGTGCTAGATAACACAGGCTACGCAAAGCTTAACATTCCTTTTTTTTTATTCTGGCTTTCTGTTTAATGAATTAAATTCAGGATTGCAGTCCTTGTCATCAGTATTTCCAGAAAGTTTGGTACAAGAAACTTCAGACCCAAAGATGGCAACTTTCAAAGATGACACTAGTGGTCAACAAGAATAAAAATCATAAAAAAAGAAACACCTTTTCTTGTAGGAAATCCTTATTTCCTTGTAGAAAGGACAGTGGTCAGGGTCAGCTTCTTGGTGAAGCAAAGCTTTGTCAGGTCTCCATGGAACTGGGGTAGTCTTGAGCAGTGGGCTTAAATGGACTATTTACAGGCAACAATTTTGCAGTGCTTGTAGGTTGTTTTGGTTTTTTTCAACAGATTACAAATAATTACAAACTGATTTTTCAGACATGCTATGAAATTTTAATATGACTGTTTTGTTCTTTAAATTTTTTGCTGCAAAAATCCTGCTAATATTTTTTGAAAGTATTTCTAAGAGAGTTTAAGATAAAGTCAGGAATTTGTCCATCTGGTAAAGGTGTTCCACTCTCCTAATGTGCTTTGTTTGCTTCTTGCACTTATGAGGAGGGCGGTGTATTTTTATTGTTCAAGTTACCTGATCCTGACAACTTCAGGAGGCGATAAAAGCTACCTTGCATACAGTCCTAAAATGATCGACAGATTCGCAGACTTGAGGGAAGACGGAATCTGTAGTCCTTGGAACATCTTTGAGGGGCAGAGGTTTGGAAATGCTGTTTCACTCTGAATAAGCAAGATAATAAATCCCTAGCTCTAGGAACAAATTTTTTCCTTCAAGATTTGTAACAGTCAAATTTTAAACAGCCTGGATCTTTACCAAATATAGATACTTTCCTCTAAATTAATTCAGGTAGCTGTACTTTTCAACTGGATGTATTTCTAACTGATTGGAAATTACGTTGACTGGTTTCGGTTGAAAGGGACCTTCAAGATCATCCGGTTCCCATCCCCCTGTCTTGGGCAGGGACACCTTCCCCTAGCCCAGGTTTCTCACAGCCCCGTCCAACCTGGCCTTGAGCACTGCCAGGGAGGGGGCAGCCACAGCTTCTCTGGGCAACCTGTGCCCGTGCCTCACCACCCTCACAGGGAAGAATTTCTTATATCTAATCTGACTCTGCCTTATTTCCATTTAAAACCATTACCCCTTGTTCTATCCCTACACCTCCTGATGAAGAGTCCCTCCCCAGCTTTCCTGTACCCCCTTTAAGTACTAGAAGGCCACTATAAGGTCTCCCTAGAGCCTTCTCTTCTCCAAGCTGAACACCCCCAACTCTCTCAGCCTCTCCTCACAGGGGAGGTGCTCCAGCCCCTTGATCATCTTCGTGGCCCCCTTTGGACCTGCTTGAGCAGGTTCGTGTCCTCCTATGTTGGGGGCTCCAGAGCTGGGCACAGCACTGCAGGAGGGGTCATGAGAGCAGAATAGAGGGGGAGAATCCCCTCCCTTGACTTGCTGGCCACACTTCTTTTGATGCAGCCCAGGATACAATTGGCTCCTTGCTGGCTCATAGTCAGTTTTCTGTCCACTTGCTCTCAGTCTGCCCAGCCTGTATCCGTGCTTGGGATTGCCCCGACTCATGTGCAGGACCTTATTGGTCTTGTTGAACTTCATGAGGTTTGCACAGGCCACCTCTCCAGCCTGTCCAGGTCCCTCTAGATGGCACATCCCTTCCCTCCAGCGTGTCGACCACACCACACAGCTTGGTGTCATCAGCAAACCTGCTGAGGGTGCACTCGATCCCACCATGTCACCAAGAAAGATGTTAAACAACACTGTTCCCAGTGTTCCCAGGAACACCACTCATCACTGCTCTCCATTTGGACATTGATGCCGTTGACTACAACTCTTTGAGTGCGACTATCCAGCCAATTCCTTATCCACCAAGCAGTCCATCCATCAAACCCATGTCTCTCCATCTTAGAGACAAGGATGTTGTATGGTGTCAAAATAGATCAGTTAAATGTTGATGAGCGTGTGAGTAATGTTACTGTGGCTTAGGTACTTTTTACTTTTACTGCATTAAAAATGTTCTCTCAGTGCACTTTGAGTCACAGTTTAATCCACAGTGGTATGAATTAAACTGTTCAATATATTCTGGTATTTCTGTTAGGCCAGATCTAGTATAATGCTTTCAAGCCACATTGCCTGATTTCTTGTTGGCATAAAGACAAAAAAAGTCTCTCAAGCCATTGCTACTTGACTTTTGGAAATTAACATTTCTTTGGCTGCTTGGTTGTAAGTGCAACGTTGTCTTAATCCTCTTGGGGGACACAAAAAAGTTTTTTTGGTACTGCACCAGGTTTCAATTAGTTTGAGACAGCAGTTGTTTTAAGAGGGCACTACTTAAATCAGATCAGTGAAATGGCCTATATGAAACAAAATATTGACTTCTGAATGCTGTTTTCCTGCAGTTCACTTCCATGATTTCACTTACAACCCAGCTACACAAATAATTGCATCAGCACAAATGTACCTGGTGATAAGTCATGGAGGAAGTTGAGTGTGTGTTTAGGAACCTTGTAAGTCAGCATTTCTTCCTGAAAAAAACAGGGATGTGAAACTGCATTTCTTGATAACAGCTAGTGTGTCATATATTAACAGTCATAACATGGCTTAGTCTGTAGTAATTCTTTGTGCATAGCTTCTTGTGAGATGATGGTTTGCAATTCTGTCCTAAATTCTCTACAGTTCAAAATCTGGGGCTTAATAAGAATTTGAACTGAAAAGGAAAGCCTCTAGCTTAGGCATGTTGTGTATGTGAGGGGAGCTATAGAAAAATGTTTTGATTGCCTCAAATTTTTTTCATATTCTCTGTTGAGAGCTCAGTGGTTTAAAAACTGCTGCTTCTGCAGAGGAACATATTTACAAAAAGGTATTATCAAGTCATTTTTTGGCTGCAATGATGTCTTCATAATGTTTTCTTCAAGTTTAATCAAATTAGAGAAATTTTACCAAGATGATTGTCTGCATTTTTTTTGCAACCCCATATTTTATTTAAGATTGGATTATTCTTTCGTGAGAGGGATGAACTAGACTGGTGCATATTTATCAGACTTCTGATAGGATTTGGTTTCATTTGCAGTACTCTACAAGTCCTGTGGTGGTCATCTTCAGGGCTTTTGCAAAAGCTTAAAAACCATACATTTTTGCTCCATTGAGAGTTTTAGAATTACACTTTCATTGATCCTGGATATTGGAGAGGTATGATAGTTTTTTAACACATGCAAAATACATGTTTTAAGATTTTGTTTAAAAATAGAGTAACAGCAGTGAAACCCATCCTTTGGCCTCCAAAGCCCTAGGTACAGGAGTCTTAGCAAATGACTTAGACAACCCAAATGTATAGATTTATTGGCTGATTCAACAACTGATGTCATTCTAGAAGTGGGAAGCATTTGGGCATTAATCCATGAACCTGAGGTGATACCTTGGTGGCATCTTTAATCTCTGAGTGCTCTAGAATGTTTATCCTGGGTTACCCAGTTTACTTTGTGACCACTAGAATGCAGAGTGCCCTGTCTGCCAGGAGCTTCAGGACTCACTTGGGAATGTAGATTGACTTGATGTTCTGTTCAAATCCAAATTATAATTTGAGCCTTCAGTAATCTTGCCAAATGTGTGCAAAAAATGAGAAATACTTGTGAGCTGTTTACCAGCATGTCCTCTTTGTTATTCTTTCATGTTAACTGTCTTTCAACATGCAATTTTGTCAGTGGAGAATGGAGGATAATAGGTCAGAAAAATATTTGAAGTTTGAAAAATGACTTATTTTGTCTACCAGAGGTAGTGGCCAGCATTTGGAAGGGTCATTTCTACTCTCTCCCCCCACACCCTTCTGAAAAGCTGTCCCTGTTTCAGGTAAATTTTGACCTCAAATACTCTCTGTAATCAGCCATCTGTAGCACCATCCTTGTCTATAATGTGTTGAGTTGGAGTTCTGTTATTTCTCTATAGTTTATCTGACATACTACTTTTCCTTTCATAGAGGAGAAGAAAAAATTAGTTCGAGAATTTGATGAGAAACAGCGTGAAGCAGATGAAACGGTAAGCATAAGTCTAGGCTTCTGGCCTTTCTGACTGGTTGAAATACTGATGCCTAAGTACTTTTTTTCTTTATGGATCCTATTCTGGCAGGCAGATGTTGTATTTTTTAATATTTGGTTAATTGATCTGATAGGTGTGTCTGTCAAGACTGTTGTATAGATCTGTGTACATGTTGTTGTGGTTTAGGCCCAGAGGGCAACTGAGCACCACACAGCTGCTTGCTCGCCCTTTCCCCCTCAGGAATGGGAAAGAAAAAATGAAACAAAAGGCTCAGGAATCGAAATAAGGACAGAGAGGGATGACTCACCCAGTATGGTTGTGGGCAAAAGACAGACTTGTTAGGAGAAGAAAAAAAGAACACCAATTTAATTCAAACGCTAACAACAACAAGACTTACCAGACAGAGTAGGACAGTGAGAAGCATTACCACATCCCCCCCATCCTTCCCTTCTTCGCAGGCTCAGTTCTGCTCCTGATTTCTGTACCTCCTCCCCACCAGCAGCGCAGGGCACAGGTGAGTGGGGATGCGGTCAGTCTTGCCACTCCTTCCTCCTCAGGGGGAAGACTCCTCACATTCTTCCCCTGCTCCAGCACAGGGTCCCTCTGACAGGAGACAGTCCTCCATGAACTTTCTCTGATCTGAGTCCCTCCCATGCACCGCAGCCCTTCCTGAACTGCTCTGGCATGGATCCCCACCGTGTGTCACAGTCCTCCCAGCACCGATCTACAACAGCAGGGGCTTCCCACAGAGTCCCAGCCTTCTTCAGGCAAAGCCACCTGCTGTGGCGTGGGGTCCTGCGCGGGCTGCAGGTCGGCATCTGCTCCACTGGTGACCTCCATGGGCTGCAGGGGCACAGCCTGCCCTCTCACCACGGCCTGCAGGGAGGCTCCCCCCTCCCCTTTCTTCCACTGACCCCTGCATTTGCAGAGGTGTCCTCCTCACAACTCCTCCTCACAAGTCGCAGGTTCCCCTTCTTAAATACATTATCACAGAGGTGCAGCCACCGTCGCTAATTGGCTTGGCCTTGGCCAGAGGTGGGTCCAACCTGGAGCCAGGGGAGCTTTGAGAAGCTTCTCGCAGGGGGCCACCATTGTAGCCCCCACCCCCACTACCAAAAAACCCATCACAGACACAAACCCAGCACATTCTGCCCCTCATCTCTGTGAATCACATATTTAAGATCTATATATACAGGTACAGATGAATATTCTTAGGAGCTTTTTTTTTACTTGCTGGGTTTGGATATTGCCTTCCCTTTGTTGAACAAAGGAGAGCGATAGAGGTGCAATTAAAATTACTAGAGATTGTAGGGAGGGCATGTAGAGAATCTGCTGCTTTTTTTTTTTCCCCCCTACTGTCTTTTTTCACATTGGTCTTAACCCATCTGATCTTTCTATAATAGTCTGATGGTTAAATATCAGGGACCTTGAAATATTTGAAACCTCTATTGTGTAGGCTTCCTGGACAGCAGGTGACATGGAGCAGCACAAAAAGCCCCATGTGACCTGTCTTTTTAAGCAAGACATTAAGGTTTAAGCATTCTTTTCATATTAATATGTTGTTAGGTGGTTTTGAGTCACAGCTGAACATGATGCATTATTACTCTAACTGAGGTTTATTGACCTGCATCTGTGTGGGTGATGTATGAGATGTAGAGCTCATATTGTGAGAGAGCTCATATTGGCAGACAGCTTTAAGCATTGTGAATATATAACGACTGTCACTAAAAGCTGGTGTGAAAATCTCAGGGTTTACAAACCCTAACTAGTTGCCATGTCCAGATGTTCAGAGTGTGAATTTAGTGGCATGCCTACCTGTGCCATAAACGTGATGAGAAGCTGATACCATACCCATCCTATAAATGCTTAAACTAGATGAAAGTGAGAACTGCACATTTTGAAGTTATAGAATGATGTTTCAGAAAAAATCAAGCATTTAAGCTTGGCAATTTTTTTCTTGAGGCACTGTGTATCTGAAAATGCATGTGGGCTGAACAACTTTAGGCAGAAGGGTGCAGTTGATAGTAGATGAGGGATATATGCTTTGGGGTTAATCCTCCTTGCCCAATTACATAAAAACATGTGAATCCCTTCATCTGGTGGTGAGTTTTGAATATAGGTGCTCCTAAGAATAGATCTGGTGCTTTAAAAATAAACACATTTTCTTTTGTTAAAGCTGCGGGAAATGGAGGAAGAACTGAAGTATGCTCCTCTGCCGTTCCGCAACCAAATGATGAGCAAAATCCGGGCATACAGAAGAGACCTCTCCATGTTCCAGAGAGAGCTGAGAAGCACAGATTTGGGATTGGGCCCTGGAAGTCAAGGCGATATAAAATACGGAATCTTCTCCACAGAAAATGAACAGAGTGTGAGAATTAGATATAGGTTTTATTTAACACTGCTGTGATTGTTTAAAAATAATGTTCCAGGTATATTGTTTACAGTGTTTCTACTTTAATCCACTTAGCTTTTGTGCTTGTGTAACTCCATGTAACATGAATATCTCAGGGAGGAGAAGGAACACTTGGAACTCAGAGAGCTTTTCTGTTCTAAAACAAAGATATGAGTATAATCAAAACAGAACTCCTTGAATGCCATGCGGTTAGTAACTTACACAACATTCTGTACTGAAATGCTTTATTTAATCATTCCCGTACAGCAGTGAAAACACAAAAGTGATACTACTGACTGAGAAAAAAAGTTAACTGATCTACTGCTGGTATCCAAAACTAGCAGAATGGATCATGCATCTTGTATAGGTTCTTTGGTAGAATTCTCTTTTAAGCAGACTCAGTGTAAACAATTTCAAGGAAATACAAGAAGCCATGCTGGAGCACTTTGTTCACTATGGATGTGCTGCTCCAGTGCAAGAACACACCAATTTCTTTGTTTACCAGATATGCTTAGATATGTCCAAGCTAGTGAGGCTGAATCTGCTTATTATCTTCAAAGTGCTGTCATCTGGACAGAAAGGTCACAGAGGGGGGCTTTTGTTTGCCTGCCTTAGATAAGGAAGGTTTGAGGGAGGCTCTTTGCTTAGTATCTTGTTCTGCAGTAGCTTGGTAGATTTTTGCATTTGATTCCTCTTGAGTGGTTTGTCAAAAACCTGAGAGCAGGGTGGTAGATTAGATTTTTTGAAGCTTAAGAGAATACCTTATTTTGAACTACCTTTTGACCCCAACATCAGCAAACATTTCTTATCCTCTGGCCGAGGCTACTGGCATGAAAAGAGGATCTTTGTTACTTAGCAATCCATCTGTTAGTGCTGTTTGTTCCTAATCCTTTTGACTGTAAACTCTTAGAGATCTCCATGGCAACCAACTGTGAAGTCACAAATAAGACTGAATTATATACAAAAAGAAGGAAAAGCAAGCATCTGGAAAGCAAAGATGGTATTTTCATGTAAATGTTCTTTGATGGCAAAGTAAATTGTTGCAAAGACAGTTTTCTGTAGCTGTGTGTCCTTCTTTTTCAAGGTTTAACCAGATTTTGCCGTAATCTTACAACATGAACAAGAGCTCTTTCAAAATTAACTGGCCTACATCAGTTAGCATGAGAAGCGTGTAGAGCTAACACAAACGGATCGCCTGTGGAGTCACGGCCTAACTTCTTAATATGTCAAGAAGCCTGATACCTCCATCTTTGTGCTTAATCATTAAGCAAAGCATATGTTATTTTTCAGACTCATCTGCAGTCACAGAGGGTGCTGCTTCTCCAGGGAACAGACAGCCTGAACCGAGCCAGTCAGAGCATTGAGCGCTCGCACCGAATTGCTGCTGAAACAGATCAGATTGGCACCGATATAATTGAAGAACTTGGGGAGCAGCGGGAGCAACTGGAGCGCACCAAGAGCAGAGTAAGCAGAGAAGCTGTGGGCATTGTGTTGAAACAACCTGATGTTAGGCTGGGGGACTGTGCGCCAGTAATTACTCCCACAGTCCTCTCTAGACATGGTAACCCAGGTGGTGCTTCTGCAGACCAAATCCAGGCTGCCACGTTTCTATGCTGTGCTCATAAAAGGAAAATAATCACTGTAGAAGGGTCCAAAGCATGATGGCCAAACATCTGCTGCCATGTCTGTGCAAGACTGGGTATTAGACCTTTAAAAAAAAAAAAAAAAGGCATTACTGAAAAAATTAGATTTAAAAAAATTGCTGAGTTGCTCACCACTGGATGACTAGTAAAGGTTGAGATTTGGGAGGCAGTTACCAGGTTCTTCTAATGACATGGAATTTAATTTAAGCTTAATTACTTACTAACCTTCCAATATTTGTAGGTTAGCTAAGGAGGGAGAAAGTGGTGTCAGACAAGATGCCTGTTCCTCATCCTTGGGTCAAGAAGCTCTGTTTCTACTGTGGAAGCTTTAAAGAAGTAATTCATTTTGTTTACACACCTGTGTAAAACTAAGATTTTGTTTTTTAAGTAACAAAACTGATGGGATTTTCTGTGTGTACAAGGGCTCCTGAGTGTAAAGCTTTTAGGTGAGTGACTTGCAGGAGTAGGGTGAGTTTGGTACGTAAGCAGGCTCAGCCAGAACGAAAAGCATACCCTTTCTCTTGGGAGTCATCTCTACTCATTGTAACTGAGCCTGTAGCTTTTTCATTTAAGTAGTTTTTCGATTTCAGTCAGAATTTTATTTGCTCTGCTTCCAAATTTGGGTTGGAGATCAGGAAGGGAAACATGCTCTTAAGATTTATAGGCATAGTGTTTGCCCGTTCTTTTTCTGATTAAAAATATTACAGCCCTTCAAGCATGGCAGTCTAATCACAGATTGTTCATGAACCTGTGGCTTCCATTGTGAGCCTTTTAGGCATCATATTGCTGAATTGTATTCACCTTGCATTCCAGCTAGAAGCAGATTTCCTTCTTGCTTGGTCTGTCGCAGCAGAGATCAGAAATCTAGCATGTTTTGGCTGGACTCGGTAGTTTTCTTCCCAGCTTGTCCAGTCTGTCTCAGTGCGAAGTGACCAGTTCTGCAGTTGAGGGCAGTGGCTTAAACGGCAGAGGAATTGTGCGGGCAGGCATCTGCAATGGCGAGCGAGTGACCTGGCTTACCTTTCACTTCCCTTGGAGGTTTGAAGTGGAATAGTGGAATCTTACCTGGAGACCTCCAGGTACTTCATTTACACATCATAAATCCTGACTCTGTCTGTGAAACAACAGCTTTCTTAGTTGTCTATAACCTCATGTAATTATGTGCTGCTTAATAGCTTACTGAGAAATATTTGGCATTTCATTTCTGAGTGTTACAAAGCTGAAATGGATCATCTATTAACAGAGCTCACACCCGCTGGGTCACTTAGACCTGTCAACACAACGTGCTGCTTTCTTTGCCAGAATCTGAACAGCATTTCAAACGGTTCCAGATACACACTGGGGAGAACAATCAGTGTCATTTCTTCTGGTGTCTACAACTAGAATAATAAAATTTAATGAAAGAAGCTAATACCAACCTTCTGATATCTGTAGATTTACTAAAGGGGCTGAAAGTGATCCTAAATTGCATATCTGTGTATGTATCTAAGGGAAAGTCAGTATTTCCTCCCTAGAAAGCTCCTACTGTGTAGAGAACAGCGTTGTCTACGAATTTGGTCCTGTTAATGGCAACAGTCAACACCAGCTACTTCCAGGTGCATCTTTGCAGAGATGCTGAATACTTGTTCAACTGACAGATAACTTTTGTTTCTCCTTAGTTGGTGAATACAAGTGAGAACTTGAGCAAGAGTCGCAAGATTCTACGTTCTATGTCCAGGAGGTGAGTGGAGCAGCACTGGGTGGTAGCACTGTTGCCTGCCAGTTACAGGCAAAAAAAAAAAAGACAAAAAAGAACAGAGGGTCAGCAGGAACTGCAGGCAGGTTTTGGGGAACATGTAAACAGAATGTGTGCCCATCTGCAGCTGCTGATCTGTGTTTTCTCCTCACTGGTAATTACAGAATGGAGTACAGGTAGTTGAGCACTGCTGATTTTATGCTGCTTGTTTAGGGTAATGTGTGGTCTCTAGCCATCCCTCATGATAAATTGTGGTGAGCACATAAGCAAGTTCTACCAAATTGCTAATGGTAACTTTAGATGCAACTCCTTGTTATTCAGGTTAGAAGAAGCTGTGCCATAAATCCCTGTGGCACTGAGCAAGTTAGATGTCTGATGACACAGACAAGTCTGTGGAGCCCACAGTGGTGCTGTAGCATAACTGGATTGTCATAAGAGAAACGCTGAGCCTTGCTGTACACCACCTGTGACTGCTTAAGTGTATCTACAGTTTCCAAACTGTGGTTTAATGATCCCTATAAACCTGTTCATGGAGTATATTTTCAGTAGGTACTTCTGGCCTAACAACCTTTCCTCCTTTATACCCATTGCTAAAGGACATAAAACAGTGTCATTTCAATAGTAAAAATACATTATAGTTGGAGATTTTATAGTTTTACTTCAACTACACAGTTCCAAGTCAAAGCACCACAGTGTGTGCTCTAGCACAGGAGTTCAACTGATCTTTTCCTCTTTGCTTAATTGAATGAGTAGGCATGTACAGAGCACAATCTCCCTTACATGGAACAGGGGAAGAGGAACAGAACTGCTAATGTTGAAGTAGAAGATTTAAGCAGAATTCTCAGGAAAACAGGAGTAGGAAGCTACTGAGTGTGTCCCTTCCTGCTTGTTAAGAGCTATTCAAATTGCACTTTGTGGTCTAGCTGAAACAGGGACTATATTTATTGACGGTAAGATGGTGATCAGATTATCTAGAATCTGCTTTCATAATCAAGGGAGAAAAAAGTTATCTTGGATTTTTTTTTTTATTTTTTCACTCTAGAGTTACCACTAACAAGTTGTTGCTGTCCATTATCATCATCCTGGAGCTAGCCATCCTGGGAGGCGTGGTCTACTACAAGTTCTTCCGCAGCAGATGAATTTTCATGACTGACATGAGCTTTTCTACTGCTATGAGCTTTTCTACTGCTGAGGAACTGGCTGGGCTGTCTGTTCCCTTTGACTGTCTGAGGATTGAACTCTCATGGGACAGCAGGCTCAGCTGAAACTGTACTGACACTAGAGGGACAGAGAAGGGAGTAAAAAGAAAATGCAGAGACAGACTTGAACTACTGGTAAGATTAATCAGAAGGTAATAAATATTTTATTGTTTCAGTTTGTATATACTTCACTAAATGAATAAATCTTGGTATGTAATAAAGTAGCCACCAATCAGTGGAAAAGCTAGTTTATTTAAAAACAGAGAAGTTAACAGTATTTGCCAAGTGTTGACAATTGATCCACTCAAGTGCCTCAGCAGAGCTCTGTAATGTCCAACATACCCAACACTTTGAATTCCTAAATCCTCACTTGCTCTTCACTGTCAGATTCATCTGGAGAACTGGGTGTTGGGAGTTCATCAAAAGCAGTGTGCGCTCCTTCCCTTGTCTGCCCAAAGCACGTTGCTATCACGTCGACTGCAAGACTAGCAGTTGCGTTCACTTCCTCTTGAGATGCTCCAAGCAGTGGATTGACTTCAACCATGTCTACAGCTGAAAGCATTCCTGTGAAAATGATTTACAGCTTTGGTACTATGACAAAGGGTAAAATCTCCAACAGGGTTTCACTGCAGCAAGTCTGACATTTGACCTTGTGACCTACTCTACCACTTAGACAAGTAAAATTGGTCCTCAAGTTGTCATTCTTAGATGCTAGCCTGTGGTTTTAATTTGGTTCTTTCTTACATTGTCACTACCTCACTTACTCATCCTTTTAGCATTCAGGAAAAATAAGTTTGATGTTCTGTATACACTTATGAAAGGAATGGTTTTTAATTTTGTTTTCTCCCAGCCCAAAAACTAGTGGATATAGAATAGCCTCACCTAATATTTTTTGCCATCTTTTTCATTATTCTATTGACTCTGTTGTCTGGTTGTGGTTTTTTTTTCCTTCATTTACTGCAAATAACTCATTGTTTAAACACATTAAATAAAACTCCATGGCATAAGGAGGAAAGTCCTCATATGTCAACTGCAGTGTACCTAGTGAAAAAGCTTGATTTGTTAGCACTGAATCCTAGAATGGGGCTTCACACTGTTTAAAATTGTTTCCATCTGTTTTTTTTTATTCCATATGCCCATCTTGCCCCATGTGTTTAGAAATAGGGGACAGTATTATACAAGATGACTGAGTCATTTTTGGCAATGGTTGTTAATATATATTATGTATTTTATTTACTTTTGGCAAATTGAAGTTGTTGATGGTTAAGCTGCTTCCAACACCTGGGTACTGCCCAACCATAGGACATCTTTTTCCCTTGCTGAAGGCTGAATTGGCTTTGTAGGCACCTATGACTATGTTGATCTTATTATGTAGTTACATGGGAAAAACATAATCAGTGTGTGTTCTATGTAGTGTTAGTCCAGTACTGCTGGTCAACTCCTACCTGTGTTGTGTATTTCCTCCGTGATGTACATGCCTTCTCTGTAAGTCAGTCCACCTAGAACAGGAGTCCCAGTTGCTGGAGCCAGTGAGGGATCGAAAGCGTCAATGTCAAAACTCAGGTGAATTGGTCTCTGTCTCCTGAGACAGAGTAAAACAAGAAAAGCAATCTCAGAACCTTCAACTTTTAATACAACAAGAAAAGCAATCTCAGAACCTTCAACTTTTAATACATGTATTTCTTACTGTCCTGGCTGATCAGCAAGTTAGTGTCATGCTCTGTGATGCTGAAGGTCCCCACTAAATCCTGTATCATGTCTTAAATACATGTGGAAAGGATTTTTAATTTTTTAAAATATCTTTGGACTCTGAAAATCTCTTAGCTCAGAACTTTCCCCAGTGCACAGTGGGCGAACAGAAGTTTGTCCTTCTAGTTTCACTCAGCATCTGCTCAGGTGTGATCTGGCTGAAGAGAATTATTTTTCTTCTAACCACTTAAGCTGGTATTTGTCTCTTTACTTGGAAAAATGTAGAGAAATGTATGATATAACCCAGCTTTTTCTCCTTTTGTACAGAAGCCAGGGTGAAAGGCTGGAAAACTGATTCTCATGGCCTCTAGGATAGAGCGAGCACCAAGCTTGAGGATTTCATAGACAGCTCATCAGGACAAATGGGGCATTCTGCATTTTTCAGGTCAAGAGTTGGAGGCTGCTCCCAGACTCTGCCATGTAAGCCTAGCTGAGAAAGTGAAGAATAATCTCAAACCTAAACCGTTAGTTGCTTACTGCATGAAGTCCGGCAACTGGTGACAGCTTAATAAATGGGACAGTGCTTGTCACTCCAAGGAGCAATTTAAGTGGTAGGCTGTGTACTTCCAACTTAATGCAGATTAGCAACTCCTTTACTGGGCACATCTGGAGCTAGGGAGGGTGAGCACACCTTTACATACAACAGCACACAGCGCAGATACACAGACCTTACCCTGCCTACAGGACTCTCCTGCCCTGTGGTGCGAGGTCACCCTTCCTAACCGGGATCCTCTCCCCGTGTCCCCAGACATGAGCACAGTTAGCAGAGGCTCCAGCATTGACCTGAAGCAAAGGTTACAGGGAACTTGGCTAGCTGAACAGCTGTCATCAGGACAGTGTATGTGCACATCACCTAAGGAGGAAGCCATCAAATGCTTATCCCTCATGCACCAACAGCTGCATTCAACTCACCACTGAGTTGTTACATATTTTGTCAAAAGTTTAATGTATACCCTAGACACTGAGTGGATTCAAACATCTTGTCAAACAACAGCAAAAGGCAGTATTCCTCAAGCAACAAAACAAATCCTATAAAACAGAGCCACAACTGTAGTAGCTAATGTAACCTATCTTGTAGCTTTTTGCCAAAGACTGTGAAATGGTTCCTGATCAAGATGTGGAAGTTGAGGACTAAAGTCTGTGCTGAGACTAGTATTTACTGGACACCGTCACAGTTCTGTTAGGCCACCTTCCATTGAGAGTGACCTTCACTTAAATAACTCTGAGGAAAGTAGATATTCAACAAGTGGATGATACCAGTACTTTAAATCAGGTAATAGTTTCTTACCTGCCCATCAGTTGTTCAAATGTTCTTTCCATAACTTTCTGAATTCCGAGGCGATCAATATCCCTCATGGAAAAATACTGGATGTCATAGTTCTTCAAAATATAGCTGTTAAAATAAAATGGAATCATTAGTGGCCTAAGCTTAAACCTAGCAGCCCTTGTGAACAGCCAGAGGTGGAAGGAAGCGCATGATTTCAGCCTTTACAGAAATCCTTTGATCAACTTACTATTCAGCAGGATCCACATCCCTCAAACCAATGTACACAATATCAGATGCTGAAAGGCAGGGCTTTAGCCAGGAAAAGCCAGGAAGTTGTGGTACCTGCAAGCAAAGGTTTGGCATTAGGTTAGATTAATGACATGTGTAACAAAACTGTATTTAGTGCTTCCCTCAAAATTATTTTATAGCATCCTTTGTCTAAACAGAGGAACTTTAAATTGGGAAGACAAACTCCCAAGTGATAATCAGTCCCTACCTTTGCTGTCCCACTTTACCAGAGCTGAATGTTAAGCATTTTCCACTTTAAAGAAGTCCAAATCCACAAGCAATAGGTAATTACCATCAGTGAATATAAGGGGGAATGATGAGAAAGCAGATACCCAGATGTAGATCACTTATAAGAGTGCAAGTAATGGTAATGCTATGTAACTTACCCAGTACATCATGCTTAAGTGGAAGAATAAAAATCAAGGCACCTCTATATTTTCAGGAGAATCACCAAAAAGTTATGCAAACTTTGTTTCAAAAACAATGTTAGAGATAGACAAATGCTAAGTGTGAAGTTAAAAAAAAAAAAAGCACAAGAAGCTGGGCCTCTGCATGGGGCTACATCATACTGTTTTTTTAATGTAGGACTGAAGAGAACAGGCCTAGGACTGCAAGTGAAAGATGATGCAGTCATTTTTCAGCTTTGGTGATTACGTAGGCATGGTGTGCAATTATAAAAAATCCTTTACTTAGTAATACCTTCTAATTTTAGGAGTGCTTTAAATTAACTCAAACATCTCTTCCTCTCCCAGCTCTGAAAATGGCTACAGCCAACACAGCTGTCAAGCAGCAAGAAGGCTTTGTTTCCCTCTTACACCTCTCAATTACTAATTCTAGTTACAACATTTGGATTTGTTCTTAAAGGCTATCACACCCATAGCTATAATTACATTGGGATTAAATATACACAATAAAAGTGTTACTCCAGGGGCACTGACCTGAAACTTTTCTGCAGTTATGAATTCAGAGTGACCACTAGGAAAAATAATTCAGGTCTCAGAAATGAAGCTGTATCTGTGAAACCCATTGCCATACCATAAACTGAGCATAGTATTGGTAATGTTGTCAGATACTCTCTAGTATCAGTGATTTAACAGATTTAATACTGCCATTTTTAATTACACCTCTTCCTCTAAATAAATAAAACTGAATGCCCTAACTTCCTTTGGTAGGCTCTGCTTTTACTTTGTTTCAATAGAAAAGGAGTGCTGATAGTAAAGCCAGACAGGCATCAGAAGGTACAGGTATTTTCAGGGTAAGTTATTAATAGCAGTTTCTGAGTTTAGTTTTAGTGGTTCCAGGAGCCCTGACACTAATGCTTGGTTTGAGGAATGCCAATCAAAGGATTATGTTAATAAATATTTTCCCTTTAAAGCATCAAAATTATTTTTTTAAGATTTTAAACCCCCTGAAGTGCCCCCTTGCCTTGAGGCGTACCAAGCAGTGCTCCCGTGGAGCCCCCTGGGCAAACAGGCAGCAGCTGACATCCTGTGAAGGGACTGTGCAAGCACCACCAGGGGTGGTTCTACAGCAACCTGGCCAAATGCTTGATTTTTCTTCCCAGCCAGATGCACCACTTCTGTGCTTCCTGTTGTCTGCTGGGGGTGGATATTTAATTCAGTAGAGCACTAACCAAGCTCATTAGCCCTGGGTACACAAGAGTTTCTGAAAACAGGTGAGAGAACACCCCAAACTGAAGGACTTGAAACAGCCCTGGGGGAGTTCTTGGCAGCTGTGCCACCTGAGTTCCCACTGTTCTGTTGCCCCAGGACAGCTCTTTCACAAAACCATCTAGGTTGGAAAGGACCTTCAAGATCATCTCATCCACCCATTAACCTAACATTGTTAGGGTCATGCAGTGAACAAGGAACTGATGTGTCTCCAAACCTAACCAAAGACAGTGCTCCTGTCTCAGTGCTCATGCAACCCCAGCGAGGGTTACAGCAGCTGAATGGAGATGCTGGCACAGGGTCAACAACAGCATGAGCAGGCTGTGCCACCCAGAGAGAGGTGTGTTACACTACTACCTCTGTCTCATGTCCTCTTGATGGGGAATGAAGAGCAAGGAGCCTGGAGGTGCTGGAAGAGCAGTACCAGTTAGAGGTGGGCAATGAATCAGGAAGATGTAATCGTGCAGGCTGTTTTGCTCTCATCTCAAAGGAGCTGTTTCTTGTGGTTCTACAAAACAATCTAGACAGGGAGCCAAGTGCTTGCCAGCCTTCCTGACACTATGAGGTTGATGACCAATAGGCATCAAAATTCCACTTTTGTGGAATTGTGAGTGTCCACCCATAGAAGCATGCACACAGATGTGTCATGGTGGGGAGGGGTTGCCGAAAAACCCCTTCACAGCATGAGTGAAAGCAAGGAAGGAGATAGAGGGCTCGCCGCTAAATCTCTCCCGTCCTCTCGCACTGCCGGGCTGTGTGCACGCTGACAAGACCCAGACCTCCTGGAGAGCGAAGTGCAACTGGCTAGTCTGCCTGCCGCTTGGAGATGTAACTCTTAGCAGAGTGTGGGACTGGAGTACCCTTCTTGCTGGTGGCAGGCAGTGTTAGAATTCAAAAAAAAAAATCCTTCAGAGCAGTCAGGAAAGGAGAGGAAATTTTTGGGTCCTGTTCTCAACATAACTGCTGTAACTGGATGAGAGGGAGCCACAGGCACCTGTTCACACACAAAATTTCCTCCAGCCAGGCAGATCTGTAGCCAGAGGAGCCATTGGCAAAGGTACATTGTACTACTGCGAAGCAGCCAGTTACACTGCTGCAGAAGCCTCCTTGTACCAGCAGGACAGATGTTGATTTTTCTCCCCTAAACAGGAATACAGTATGGCAAGAAAACCCTCTTAATTTAAAGTACACACCTATTTGTGTAGCTACAAATACAGGTTGAGGGGCTTGTGTCAGATGTTTGACAGGCTTTGTCAGCTACAATTTAGGTGGGCTTGTGACGAGACCTCCTAACCAGCACCACACCCAACTAACTCACCATTATGTGTAGCCTAAGCTTACTCTTCCTTCACTACTGCTGCTGGCAAGGGGCCTGATCCCCCAACTAACCCCAGAAAGCTCACAGTATTCTTTTAAGCAGCTCAAAAAAAAAAAAAAACCCAAACCCAAACACCAAACTGCTTTTCTGTGCTGCTCAAGAACTGGAGCCCAGCAGTCCAGAAATCAACATGTATACACAGGAAGTCGATTAAATACTTCAGTCTACTGACAGAAGAGGAAAGCAGCATATCTTACTCTGCCTTCCTCAGCTATCAAAGAACTTGACTTTTTTTTTGTTCTTACCAAGATAGAAACTGTTCACCTTAGGTGAGCTCCAAAATTTTCTCTCCCTCTTCCTATCCTTCCTGCAAAAAGTGGGTGCAGTTGCCACAAAGAATAAGAGTAGCACCCCCTTTAATTTATGGGCAAGAAACTAGAAATACAGTAACCATTTATATTAACCTTCTCATGTCCTGAGGGTATTTCAAGAAGCCCCATTAATTCTGCATTGCTTTGAGAATTCTAGCATGTTTGTAGAGACCATACAAGAATTATTAGAAGGAGGAAAGCATGTAAAAGCACTCAATGACTCTCTAGACTTGTGGATGGGATTCATTCAGAAGAATTTGCAGGTGAGAAGCAGAAGAGCTTTAGCAGTTGATAAGCTAACGCAGTGGTATCTTCAATAGCCGCAGACATTAAATGTGCTTGATCAAACTTCCATCAACATAGCACCCCCAAAATGTATCAGAGAGAAAACAAGAAATCTAAGAGAAATGACTAGCAGTGCAAAGTGCCAGGAAACAGAGTCAGATTTTCTGCAGCTCCAGCATCCACTCTCAACCTGCAGTTGCTGATCCTGTCCCACTCTCCAGCCTACAGTTCAGCAGAGGCAGCCTGTCCTGTCTAAGGCCCCAGCTCTTCCAATGCACAAGTTGCTGCCGAGTGTCTCCAGCAGATGCCAGAGGTACCTCTCCAGGGTACACAGGTACAGCCTGCAGCTAAGCCAAAGAGGGTACATAGGCCTTAGGGCAATCTGGTTCGCATCTTGACAGTAGGGAAAACTGGCCATGCACATTCCACATGCCCCAGTAAACAGCATTTTTTGATAATTTGACCTCTTTCCAAGACCAAAGACTCTTTCCAGAAAGCATCCTGTAAGCAGGTACAGCTCTTCTGATTTCTAATATTTGCCCGTGGAGCAGATCCCAGAGCAACCAGTTATGAGAGCTCATGCAGGAACAGCCCCTGTCAGGCCCCAAGGTTTTCAAAACATGGAAAACCCAAACCAAGTGGCAGCAGCAGCATACAAGGTATGCAGGAACCAGGTGTTCCCGAGGTGAGCTCAGCACAGCTCCCACAGGCTCGGCTGGGGGAGGCTCCCTCTTTGCTCAGTAGAATTGCTGCCATTGCACAAACTCAGCACCAGCTCCACTCACTGTGTGGGAATGGCACCTCTGGCAGCTGCTACACAGAGCACATGAACTCCTGCTCTCCCTACCACCCATGAGGGTGCCAACAAAAAGGAGAGCTTATCATTCTTGTTTCTAAGTGTGTGTGCATGTATACCTATATTTACATTTGTGTATATGTATGTATACATGTGCCTGTATTAAACACAAATAATATGTATTTTTGCTTGTACTCAGAAAAAAAGGTCTGCGTTTGCAGCAGATAAGAAAGCACCTCACACCAGAAGTAGTAAAATGCTCTGAGGATTTCAGTGGAGGCTAAATGTACGAGCAAAATACATACTTACCTTATCTTGAAGCTCTCTCAAGAGAAATGAGAGAGGTTGTCCATGGAGGTTTCCAGACTGAGTTGTAAGCGGGGTGTTGATATCAGCATGCGCATCCACCCAGACCACGCCAAGGTGTGGGCACTGCCGTGCGTGGCCACTGACAGAACCAAGTGCCAAGCTGGAAGTACAGTAGTAAAGTCTTTAGTCACCATTTCTCCTTCAGAACTACACGACAGCGGAAAGTCTGCAACTTCAGTCAGCAACGTTGTCATGTTTCAACACTTCAGACATCCCTGACAATAAAGGGTGCATCCCGTACAAGCTGCATGGCATCATGATTCCGGGAGATTCCAAGTCTCTGTGGGACTATACTAGTACTGACAGATGAGAAAGAGCTCTTTTGTCTCTCCACTGTCACCCTTCCCACACTCAAGCCTTCACCTGTTCTAGCACAAAATGATCTCTTAGATCATCTAGTGTGTTCACTCGTCACTTCTGATATTCACCTATTTTTGATTCCAGCCATGACACCTTCCCCCACAATTCATTCTTACATGCCTACATTCTTCAATCAAATCTCAAACCAAAGCTTAGTGAAAAAGAGATTCTCATGTTATAAGATCCATTACAAAACGGTCAGCATGCAGGCGTTACAAGCTCATCCTAAGATGATATCCTGAGAGTTGAGGAGCAAAAGAGACACATCACTAAACATTCAGCAATAAAGAAACCACAACAGTTCCTAAAGGGATCTGATTACATAAACTTTCCCAAACACAGGAAAACCTCATTTGTTTGTCTGCAGGTCACAGAACAGTCAGGAACTAAGCAGTACCATCTTAGAAGGTCAGATTTTTGTAGTCATCTTCACCCTAAAAACCCCAGCAGTAAAATCAAAATGCTGCTATGGTATTTCCAGGAAATTAACCCAAGTTGTTTCCACTGTCCCTTATTTTTTCTTTAAATTCTACACTCCAAGTGTCAGCCTGCAGTTTGCACCACTAATTGCTTCTAGTTCAGCTCACCTGTGATCCCCTCCTATAGTCACACAGCTGTGTCCAGCAGCTACTGCTCTGCTCACAGCATCAGCCAGCACCTGGCTGGCTAAGCCCACTGTCCGGGGATATAAAATCAGGTTGTTGTACAGTTCATCATTGGGAACTTGAGTGAAATTCAGATCTCCAAAGTCGTACACTTGGCATCCTGGAAACACATCAGCAAAAGGAGAAAGTGAGTTATTTAATTGCCCAGAGAAATGTTCAAAACATGGTCCCCTCAGAAAAATCAGTTGGGCAAGTACGAAAGGAACAACAGGAAGTGAACAGATTCATTTGACTATCTGCATGCCCTTGCAAACAACTGTGTCAACTTTACAGATTAGAAAGCTTAAGATAGTATTGTTGCTTTAATTTAGCAATCACATAGAACAATCATAGAAAGTCATCTAGAAATAAAGTTTGGGGGTTTTTTTTTAATTATTTCTTGGGAATTTTAACATGAAAAAGTACAGTTTGTATTGCTTCTTACTTCCCAGTTAGACAGATCATTTACAGCCTTAAATGAGCCCAGCTGCTCAAAGATGCCTAGGACTACACATTTCACTCATTATACCTAAGTCCTAACAGTTATTTTCCATTTTCAAACCCCCACAAGAATCCATGCACAAAAGTGCTATATTACCAATAATGGAAATTTTCTTATAGTACTTTCAGGCAACTCCATGGAGTTACACTACTGCTTTGTAAGAGAACCTATCCATTTTCTTAACACAAGATGTTCTAGAAGGCATTTTGATTCTGGGGCTTTGATCCCAACCTTCTCTGAGATCCTATCATTGCCTGTTACAACTTAATTGGCTGTTTGAAGCCTGACAACATTCTAGGTCTGACACTCAGCCTTTCCTAAAATGTATTTCTGTCTACTTACCCTGAAAAGGAGTGACTTGACAGATTATGAAACAAAGGAACATTTTTGAGTGCTGTTTCCCCTCCTCCACCCAGCTGGTAACATATTTATTAAATTGGCTGCATTTGAAGTTTAATTCTCATTCATACGCATTACAGAGCTCACCCTTTGAAGTTCTGCTGTCTGATACCATGTGCTTTCTTAACAGTCATTTAGATACCAAAATTTGTAACAGTATTTCACAGGCTAGAGACTCTCTGTTTCAGATAGGCCTGTTGCTGATGAGACACTGATGAGGACTGTAAAGGCCTCAAGGTATTTACAGCTACACCAAGAGTGGCTTAATAAGTCAAGACCACCCTGCATACCAGTCACGCCGGTGCCATTTGTTCCTCAGAATCACCAGTCTGCTTGCTGTTCAAAGCATCCAGTCTAGAGCTTCACATTTTGCCTTTAGCCAGGCTATTGCCTAACAGGGCAATTTGAAAAATTAAGGCAAGCAAATGAAAATGAAGAAACAGCCCACTTGGGGCTCTGGGTTTCAGGTTGAACTTCCATTAAACCATTAGTCTAATGTCCAGGAAACAGGCCCTGTGAATTTGCTTGCTGGAACAAAATGTAAAAATAGCACTGAGAAAAACAAGACTTTAGGAGTTTTGACTGGTGTAAAGAATAACAGAAAATGGTCTAGTCACTGGTGACTGGCAAATAGGCAAGTATAGTTCTTATAGCAGGGACATATGTCAGGGTATTTTCTAGGAGAGGACACGTCAGCTGAGCTCAGATGCTAGCAAGAGGATTAAATAAATCTCTGCAACGCTGAGAAAACCTGCAGACTTACAGCAGTAAGCAAGACCCTGACATACCACTCTCCCTGGTTTTCAAAAGGCAATACAGGCACACAGCAGCATCTCCCCCCCACACTTAGGCAATACCTAATTAGCCAGCAGAATGATGGCCCTGGAATTCTGAGCCCATTTTGTTCAGATTTGAATGTGCTATCTGATCTCTGTGTGACCACTACATTTTAACCTCTGTTTCATTCTGCTGCTGTGCAGAATCAGGAAACAGCTGCAAGCTCTGCTATGTTCAATGAACGTCAAAAATCCATTTTTTTAATGTGTCTTCCCACAAGGCTACTTCTCATGCATATGCACACCAGTACAACATTTTGTTATTTCAGAGTTTGATGAAAGTACACGACTGTGCACAGGAGGGAAATTTTGGAAGTAAGACTTCAAGACACTCCATCATTCAGTAGGTATCAAGAGCTTTTGGAGATGCTATACAAGTTAATAATGCCTTTGATCTAATACTCTGACATCTGCAGGAGGTAAATCTGCAGTGGGGAGCCGTGTTCAGTGACCTACACACCACAGGACAGCACGTCACACAAGGTAATGTAAGAGAGGACGGCCATGTTTTGTTCTCTTATAGGACATACAAGCACATCACAGTATTTTTACCCGTTTTGAAAGATGGAAAAGAACAAGAAGAAATTGTATCACAACGCTCCATCTTTAGATCAGCATAAAACAAAGAACCAACCACAGCACTTTAAGGAATAGGTTAAGATTCTTCAGGGTATGGTCAAGGCCAGATGTGGCAGATGCTAGCAAGATGGACAGACACACACTTCTGGGGTCTAGAATTCTGGGATCCTATCCACCTTTTGAAGAAATGGTACTTCCCTATCATCTGCATTGATGCCTCTAGTTATTTTTTGGGGTTTATAAAAAAAAGCCCAATGTCTGTTAAAGGCAATAAATGCCTGCTGTTTTGGTTACCGTATTCAAAAGCTTATTGTTGTTCAGATAAGAGTTCATAAACCTTATAGCGGCTTCTTTTCTCAGCTCTTATTTACAGCCCTCTTATTTAGGCCTACTGTTTTATGTGCTTGCAGAGGATAGCTCAAGTTTCCCAGGGTGATATGGATGTTTTCAGCCAGCTATCCAATGGCTGATTAAAATACAGTTAATCTCGGTACATACCAATCCAATCCTCAAACACTAATATATTTTCTCCTTCCTATTTTTAATTGTGCCTAAGTTTTGAAAGCTATGATTAGATAACCTTAGCACAAAAGGAAAGCCTAGTGAATACATAGTACACAAAATAATTCATAGTACATAGATACACCATATATTCCAAAGT